CGGTTGCCGGTGTGCCGAATTAATGGCAACCTAGGAAATAATTGTAGGGGGCCTCTAGCATTTGGGGTTTTTTCAAGTTAATTTCTTACAATTTTTTTTTTAAGAAAAATAAGAAAAGAAAGCATACAGAAATAGTGGAGAAAGCATCGGAAGACCAGAGCTTGTCTGCCGTGCAAGAACCTCCTAAAAAACCAAAGACAGACAGAAAGAAGGAACTTTCAAAAGCAGAGGAAAAAATGGCAAACAGGTGAGCAGGTGATACCTCTTTATAGCCAGATTAAAGAACCAACGTCGAGATTAATGATAAGATTATGAGTTCAGTGAAATAATAAAGTTCTGTTCTACTTTTCATCTTGAACCTTGTGTTTAAGAAGATTATTTTTAAGAATATGGTTAAAATTTTCTGTAGTTTGTCCCAGAAGGTAGTAAAAACTTCCAACTTCTTGAAGTTCTAGTTCCACAAAGTGCACATCCCCAGTTGGAGAGCTAGCAGGTCTAAAGGCCGTAGCTTTAGACAAAGAAGTTCTCTCTGGCATGGGGTGAGGCTTTCTAACTGTAGCTGGCTTCACCCAGCAGCCTGTCAGCTGCGGGAGCAGAGGCGGATTCAGCCGCAGGAAGGTGCTGGGCGGCATTTGCTGTCCCCAGCGCCCTCACTCTCTGCTGTGACACAGAGCCACGCTGTTATGCGTCCTGTTCCCTTCAGTACTCAGGGTTGAGTCAAGATGCTGTTGGGGCAGGCACGAAGCTAGGCTCTGAGCGGTGAAGTTCAGTTTGCTTGCTTGCTTGGGGCTTGAGGCTAATGCCGTGTCCTCTCTCCCACCCTCTGCGTGGTTGCACCTGCCGTGCCTATGAAACTTTTGGTTGCTGTGTTGGCGTCGATAGTCTTCCAGAGGCTTTTCCAGGTCTGCTGGTTGTTCATGCTGTTACTGGCAAGTTTGGGTAGGTAGAGATTTGTTAGTGCACAGATGGATCTCACAGGATTGTCTGTTGTGAGTGTTGTGGATACTGGGAAGAATCAAATGTGTCCTTATTTGTAGTGTGCAAAGATGAATTCTTTCCTCCCCTTCAATTTTAGAGGATATCGAATGATTTAATTCTGAATTCTTTATTACACCTACTACATGGCAAATGCGATGTCCTGGGGACAGCAAGTAGTTTTCCCTATTACAGAATGGTCAGATAGGCTTGTTTAACACACGATAAGCCAAAATAACATTTGAAATTTTATGTTGAACCTAATTTAAAATGTAATTTAAATATTTATCTTGGAGGCTTCAGTTCTTTGACCTCAAGAGCCCTGGATTTTCTTGCAATCAGTTATAATTTGCTTGTCTCTTTCTGACAAGAGAGAGCGTTTTGGAGCGGGCAGACGAAGAGGAGGAGAAAAAATCGATTCAAACCAAAGCAAAGGAAAAAAAAGGAGCTTCTCATGCCATCACCAAAAGTATTGCTAATTCAGATACAGGCACTGCTGTGGAACAACACAAGAAAAAGAAGGTGGCTGATGAAATGGTAAACAGAAGAACAGTGTTTGTTGGAAACTTGCCTGTCAGCTGTACTGCTCAGGTACGTGAGTGGATTCTGTCAGCTAAAGGAGTGAAAAGAATTACAGCAGTCCTTAGTTTGAGGGGATGTTTCCAGCTGAGAAATCACACGTACTTGTGACTAAAATTGCTTTTGGGGAAAGTAGGAAATAACACTTGTTATCAGAAACCATTAGAGGCAATCTCTTTTGTTTTGCCACAGTTAGGCTTTTTACAGTGGTGGATGCAGTTGCTCTTTCTTTAGTAGAATTAGTTACTCTCTCAGTGAAAAATTACTTCATGAGAACTACAGTCACAAAGCTAGAGACTGCTTCTAACTTTGAATGCAAATAATACTTCGGATTGTTGCATAAACTGTGCAAAGTTTATACTTTTCTCCATAGTAAGTGGTATGAATTCAGTTTTGGCAATCTGTAGAATAAGAAGCTGCCACAAGAAACACAGGAACAGTTACAAATTACTTGCATATTTTTAGTAGCCCTTTAAAGGACCTTGTATAAGTAAAATGAAAATAGTGTAAAAAAAAATTGAATATTTTTAATATCTTCTCTTTAGATCCTGAAATCTCTTTTTAAAGAGTATGGACAAATAAAATCCATTCGATTCCGGTCTTTGGTAGGTTAATTCCTCTAATGTTGTGTAACCAAATTATGTTTCTGGTCTTAAAAGGTGGTATTCATTAGTTCAGAAGCGGGTTTGGATGTGTATTTTTTGCCATTGGAGGTTTTACCACAGAGGCACCACAGACGCACCTTTCCTTTCACCACATTTTACTCTTCCTGCAGCAGCAGCTCATACTGTCGGAGCTGTATTTTCTCTGTAAGAAGAATGCTTTTATTATTGCTCACTTAGCTAAGGGGTTACCTACCTGTTTTTAAATCATAGTCGCAAAGACACAGGGATTGTAAATCAGTGTGCTCTGTAAAATAGTTGAAGATAACAGTCCTGAAACTCAGGAAACGCGACAGATGAAGTCAAAGCAAGCTGTCGTAATTCTGAGGTCTTTCTGTATCATTTCTAGGAATAGCCAGTTGCATCATTTGCTCACTGTACTGGCTACATTGCTTTGGGAGGGAATGGTACCTGTCCGAATTCTTCTTTGCCTTCAAAAACAAATACTTGAGATAAATTAATGCTAGGCCTACTTAACTAAAGCTCTTTTTATCTTACAGGTTCCAGCAGAAGATACTTTATCCAAAAAGATAGCAGCAATAAAGTAGGTTCCTCTGTGAATTTTGTGCTTTATTTTTCAAGTCAAAAATAGTTTTTAAGTGTTGGTTGTTACCTATTTGACTATATTAATTTTTTTATTTTGTGTTTTTTTGACTTTTTTAATTACCTTTGTGTGTGCATAAGATTTCTTGACAAGTAAAATGTAATTATGTGCCTGGTATACTTGTAAGTAATTCATTATCTTGGGCTGCATTTCCTATGTTTTAGGAAGGAGGAAGAGGCTAATAGTCCTTAATTCCTTTGGATATATTTATAAGTTGAGGAAGCTTGATCAGGGTGCAGGTATAGACTGTATAAGATGTACAGTGAGACTCCCTTGGACATAAGGGGCTAGCATGACCTTTCAAGAGAAATAAAGTTGTTACTGTGCACAGAATAGGAGGAGGCATAAATGGGTTTAACAAGAGGTGTTTGTGCACTGCACACCATCAGAGTTATTTAAACAACATGTGTCTTTTTCATGTTCCAGGCATAAAGTGCACCCTAATGCGAAGTTCGTCAATGCTTATGTTGTATTTAAGGAAGAATGCGATGCCATTAAGGCTCTAAAAGAGTAAGTCTCAGTTTTTGTTCCTCATTCCCTGTTGAAGAGGTGGATTGACAAAGTGTTAAAAGATAAACTACCTCCTCTCTTTTGCTTTAATCACAATAAAATGTTTTTTCAAACTTAAAGTAAATTTGCTTTTGGAATAATGCTATGCAGTGACATTGCAAATTAAGGAACACTTACTCATTTTGGTTTTAAAACTTTTTGCTTTTGGCTACAAAAGAAATGGAAAAGAAATTGCTAGTGGATTTCACATCAGAGTTGACATTGCATCAAAAATGAGTTCGGTAAGTAAGATGTGCGACTAGAAAACCCCTCTTCTGTGGGTTTTTTGTTGCTTTTTTCTTTTGTAACAAAAAATGTACTGTCTTGTATCTCTTATTTTCTTTAGCATGACAATAAACGATCTGTATTCTTGGGAAATCTCTCATACGGTAAGTCTCCAGTGGATTGTTATGTATCGTTAGCATCTAAGGCATATGTTGACTTTAGGGTTTTTTATTTATTGTTATTTAGGGTAGCATGTTAAGGTAGCTAAATATATTTTGCTGGAATTAATTTTTCAAATAGCAGTTTTCTTAATTGAAACACCTACAGGGATTGTAAGTTTCTGGAAAGTTCTGCAGATTGTTTTCTTTATTGTAACTAGAACTGCCAGCGCTTTTTGTTCTTGTTGTTGCTTGATGTTTTATTTTTTTTTAAATAAATACTACTAAACTGCATAGGCCATAGCTTTCTAAACTGTTAAATGTGTACTGGTACCTGCTTGTGAACTACTTCCAAGTGACACGCAGCAATGGCTTCTCATTTTGATGGTGGTGTGAGCCACAGGGTGAGTGACTCTGTCCAGGCAGCAGTCAGCAATCTGTTGTTCATAGTGCAGAGGTGCTTACTGGGTAGTTGAGGTCCATGCTTGATGAATGTTCAGCTGCATCTGAGTAGACTGGAGAGAAGACAAAGGGATTGCCATCAGGTGTGGTCTGTATGGGGGTGTTAATGGAGTCGGGATGCTTGGGATGAGCATCTCACCTGTGGGTGCATGATACAGGGTGAAAGGCCTGACACAGAGCCGGTACTGTGGACTACTGACAGTAATGCTGAAACAAACAGGCTTTAGTCTTCAGCCTAAAACTTGATCTGTCTGAAAATCTGGATGGGTGACAAAGCTGATTGTGGTGAGCTTGTGTCTATACTGTATGTTCCTCTGTGCATCCTGCAGAAGAAAACAGGTTGGATATTTTCAGTGCTCTGAAAATGACTTCAGCAGCTTGAACCTTTCTCAGTGCATCTAAGCCCCTTGCTGTAATTAAACATTCTTATATAATTTCCCTGAGGGATCTGGGGTTGTTCAGCCTGGAGAAGGAGGCTGATTGGAGACTGTATTGCCCTCTACAACTGCCTGACAGGAGGTTGTAGCAAGGTGGGTGTCAGTCTCTTCTCCCAAGGAACAAGTGATAGGACGAAAGGAAATGGTCTCAAGTTATATCAGGGGAGGTTTAGATTGGATATTAGGAAAAAATTCTTCACTGAAAGGGTTGTCAGGCATTGGAACGGGCTGCCCAGGGAAGTGGTCAAGTCCCCACCCCTGGAGGTATTTAAAAGATGTGTAAATGTGGTGCTTAGGAACATGGTTTAGTAGGGGATAGGCACGTCTGGGCCTGATGATCTTGTCTTTTCCAACCAAATGATTCTATGATTCTATAAACCTGTACTATTAAATTCATCCCCTCCCCTTAGCAGAGATAAGATTCCATCTGTGTAAAGCATTTACTGTAGTATGAAGCATACCTATACAGAAAAGAGAATAACCTGTATTTTTGTATTGGTACATCACACTTGTCTGCTCATGTAGGCATGAGACTGAGAAAGCCTCACGCATCTGGCCATTATCGGAATAATCGCATAGCAACTGTGGTTGGAAATGGTAAATCCCTTTTCCCCCATTCAGCTAAAATTCACCACTCGCTTGATGAGCATTAGACTTCAAGAACTGCCAGCTCGCGCTCATTATCATCAGCATTAATTCTTAGATTCTGGCATAAGAAGGAGCTACAGAAATGTAGCACAAATCTTAATTTCCACTGTGTTCAAACCATAAATGAAATTATTTGAAAAATTTATTTCTCTCTCTGCCTTGGTGGTTCTTTGTGATTTATGTCGTGCTCTTCAAAGCTAGAGAATTGGTAACTGTCAAAGTAAGTAGCCCTTTATGAAGTCTGCATTGTTAACTTGCTGGAATTTTTCTGAACCACTGATATTTGTGTATCTATATATATTTACATGTTGCTATATATATTTAAATGTATATGGTTGTGTACCTGAATTGGTAAATATAAAATATCTGGATTTGGGCCAGGCTTCTAAAGCTGTGTGTCTGGCTGAAGAGGCATCTGTTTCGTTGTGCTTGTCTGCAGACATCAGTGACGATGCTGTGCGAGAACACTTTATTGTCTGTGGAGGTGTAGTAGCAGTGCGAATTGTGAGAGACAGAAACACCGGCTTGGGTAAAGGCTTTGGCTACGTTCTGTTTGAGGTATGTATGAACAGCATGCTTTGGGACACTGGGAATTCTGCAAAATCTGAATTGGGATTTGCCTTTATGCCCTTTTAATATTTTTTTTCCTTTTAGTAATTTTTTTGGATTTGTGTATGACGTTGTGTATGTTAAAAGTGGCTTGGAAGACCAGTTCTGTGGAAGCAGATACAAAGCAAACTATTTTAGGTTGTATGTAAACAAAGGTTGTAAAACATTGGGGTGAAAGAAATGAACTGTAAGGGAAAGACTTATAGGAGGGACAGACAGGTTTGCTTGGTGTAACTGCAGTGGTCTCCTATTTCTTCTGTGTCAAAATACGAGTGGAATTCTTTCCGGCAGCTGGTTTGCTTACTGGCTCTCTGTTTTGGATTCAGTGCAGCTTGCTTTCTTGTGACAGTCTCCCAGCCTCATCTTCCTTAGTTTATTTCCTGCAGCCCAATGCCTTTCCCCCCCAGTTTCTCCTGCCTCTGTCTTTCACCTCTTGCGTAAGCTGTTTTACAGCCCATTTTCAACGATCTGTGCCTCGATGCATGGGGCTATGTGGGCTGGTGTTTCTGAGCAGAGATGTTGTGTCATTCAATAAATAGAATAAAGAGCGCTCAAACTGTTGTAAAATCTTGCTTACAAAAATTAAAGGCAGGCAACTTTTTATTTGAAAGCAATTGACTGGAAGTAATGCTGCTTTTAAACTGAACGTCTGTTCTTGTAGAATACGGATGCTGTACATCTTGCTCTGAAACTCAATGACTCCCTTCTGATGGGAAGAAAGGTACGAGTGAAGCGCTGTGGAGAGAAGTGGAAAGCACCACAGAAAAGTCCATCTCAGTCTCGTGCTCCTAAGGACAGAGTTAATACCACATTAAAAAACAAGTGCTCTAATGATTCATTTGTTGGTGAAAAAGCAACCCCGTTAAAGAAGAGCACTAAACAAAAAAGCCTAAAAACCCTTCCTAGAAATAAAGCTGGGAAAAACAAACAGTCTTCTGATAAAAATCGAATGTATACAAATGTTCATTATTGTTATAAAGACTAATGTATACAAGAGTCTCCTGTCGTAAATTTTGTTGGCTAAGACAGCACCATAGTCCTTCGTAGTGTTCGCTCTGGGGTTTTTGGTGTCTCCCAGAAGGTGGCAGGAGGTGTGTGTGTCGGTACCCCGGTTGCAGTACAGGTGGGGTGGGATTTTATTGCTGTGTACCAGGAACGTGGCTCTAGCCCAGGTCCCACTGCAGAGGTTTAACCGAATTTGTTCTTTTGGAGCTGTGTAGAGTTACTCAAACTGTCGACGGAAGAAGCGGCTCGGGTGCAGGCTAAGCCTGCCATGATATGCAGACCGCTACCTCGTTAGGGCTTGGGTTTGCTTTTTTAAACTGCGACGCTTCAGCGGAGGAGACTTCGGCCTCTTGGGCGACGAGAAGCTGCTGCTCAGGCAGCGGTGTGACGTCTGGGTCGGGCCTTCTCGCACCTCGCAGCCGGCGGGTGCCTCCCTGGGCCGGGCAGGGGCCGATCGCTCTGCGTGCCGGCCG